ACTCAGATCTGGTAATTAAGTAAAAGTAGAAACTTCTACTTTTACTTAATTACCAGATCTGAGTACTTCTACTTTTACTCAAGTACCAGATCTGAGTACTTCTACTTTTACTTAATTACCAGATCTGAGTACTTCTACTTTTACTCAATTACCAGATCTGAGTACTTCTACTTTTACTCAAGTACCAGATCTGAGTACTTCTACTTTTACTTAATTACAAGATCTGAGTACTTCTACTTTTACTCAAGTACCAGATCTGAGTACTTCTACTTTTACTTAATTACCAGATCTGAGTACTTCTACTTTTACTCAAGTACCAGATCTGAGTACTTCTNAAGATGAAAATGAATTAATGGTCTAGACTCATGCTCGACTCATTGCGTCATCTTCATTGAGGTTCTAGACCAATTAATTCATTTCATCTTCAGATCTGAGTACTTCTGCTTTACTTAATTACCAGATCTGAGTACTTCTACTTTACTCTAAGTACCAGATCTGAGTACTTCTAGTTTACTTAATTACCAGATCTGAGTACTTCTACTTTTACTCAAGTACCAGATCTGAGTACTTCTACTTTTACTTAATTACCAGATCTGAGTACTTCTACTTTTACTCAAGTACCAGATCTCAGTACTTCTACTTTTACTTAATTACCAGATCTGAGTACTTCTACTTTTACTCAAGTTTGTTTGTTTGTAGCCTTTATTTAACCAGGTGAAAGTCTCTTGAGATCAAAAGATCTCTTTTTCAAGGGTGAACTGCAAGTACCAGCTCTGAGTACCTCTCCCCACTCCCCTGTGTATCCTGTGTGAGGTGAAGCTCCAGCACTGACCTGATGAGGTAGACCTTCTCCTCCTCTCCGTACTCCTCCCTGCAGAGGGTGAAGCGGTAGATCCATGAGGCGTACCAGCTCAGGTAGGTGGTCAGGTAGTAGGGGAAGAGCACCATCTGGCAGAGCAGGATGTCGGACAGGTTGGGCTTCTGGTAGCCTCCCTTGATGTCGATCTTGGTCTTGATGATGTCCCGGATCACCTCCTCCTCCTGCTCCCGGATCTCCTCCTTGGAGCGCCGGTTCTTGCCCTTCTCCTTGCCGCGGTTGAGGAGCCCCTGCTGCTTGGCGATCTCCGTGGCCTGGATCCGGTACTTGGGCACCGTCACCAGGTAGTTGAGGGCCTCGTTGTAGCTGCTGTGCCAGCTGTAGAACTGGAGGAGGAAATCTACTTCTTATACACTCATGAACAAAGTATTTGCCATGCAGTTGGGTATCTTTTTTTCTGGTTATTTTGAAAGAGGCAGACAGCTGGAGAAAACATTATTTTACAATTACATGTTATTGAACATCCACCCAAGTGTTTTTGATTTTGCAGCAATTCCGAAAGGCATGTATGAGGGAGTCACACTTTTTAAACCTGAATCTAAGGAACTGATGTAACTTATAGTCCCCACTATAATACATTCTTTTCATTAATTTATACTGAATTAAACGTAGATTCTCATTTGTTATTATTTTATATGCGAGTTGTTAACATTCCTTACGTTTTTCTTTTGCGCCTCTATACCAAGCTGTTAATTCCACTTATTGTATATGTTTTGAAGCAATTCATCACTGTTCAAGACTAACTCATCAGTTTTCAATAAATACAAAAAGATTAGTACCTGGAAGATGGAGATGGCGCAGATGGTGACCAGGATGACGATCCTCACGTCCACCTTGGGGGTGAGCTGCCTCCTGTAGTAGGTGTAGTAGTGCTGGTAATACTCCTCGGGGTGGTCCAGCATGTAGTCGTAGTCCCGCCGAGTTTCCTCATCCTGCACACACACACCCACAATCATTTTCATCTATAATAAAGGCTCATCAGCATGAGAACATGGGCAGGTCTTTACTGAAAAGTTCAAAGCTTTATTCACAGAAATAAATGTTGCAACTTTATTTTTGTTGCTTAACAAACTATTTGGGCAAACCAAAAAAAAACTCTACATTTATTAAGAAAATGTAAAAGTAATCATTTAGAAAATATAATTTTAATCTAACTGAATTTCCAAATTCAATCCATCATTGTAAGTGTTCATTCTTTCCAATACAACATATCTTTAACATACCTCACTTCAGTAAACACTGATGAGTTATATTCTCTAAAGAAAAATGAAAAGGTAATTTCATATGTTTAATTTAATTTGTCTACATTTTGGGAGTTTGATAGGCTAGACAAGCATTACTGTATGTACACTGCCTATTATTCTGTATATTTATATTGTTTATTCAATATATATATATATATATATATTAGGGCCGGGACTTTAACGCGTTAATTAAGATTAATTAATTACACAAAAATTAACGCGTTAAAAAAATTAACGCATTTTAATCGCACTTATTTTTGCACCGCGGAACGTTTCTCACTGGATGAGTTTCAG